GGCGAGCCAGAAACTGATCAAGCCGACCACCACGGCCGGTGCAGTGGCCGAGATGCTGACCATTGAGGAAGAGGAGACCGCAGCAGCCAAGAACCCGGCATCGTCGCCGACGGCCGCCCAAAAGCGCAAGTCGCCCCCGGAGACCGACGACGCCGCGTCGCTCGACCCATTTTCCACGCTCCCCAAGGTGGCACCGTCTGCCAGTGAAGACTACATTGCCTTCCTCGAGTACCAGAAGAAGAAGTGGGCCATCCAGAAGCAGGCTCGGGTCCGCCGGCGGCACTTGTTTGGCGACCGTGCTGGTGGCGGTGGCGGCGGCGGCGGCGGCGGCGTTATGCAGCAAAAGGCCAACAGCATCCAGCAGTCGTTCCAGCAGCGCGCCGAGATCACGTTCCGCAACACCTGGCAGCTGCTGCAGCTCAAGACCACCGACAGCCCCGGCATCGTGGCAGCCTACGTGCTCATTGACGCACGCATCCACCACCTCAAGATCAAAGTGGACCGCCAGGTCTTCCTCAACCTCAAGAGCAAGGACCTGCCCGACATTGAAATCCCCGGCTGCGAGGTCGAGCAGGTCAGCCACACCCTGCCCAACGGCCACTCGTCCGTCTACCTCTTCAAGCTCACGGTGCCCGAAGACGTCTACTTTGCCGAAGCCGAAAAGTTTGCGCTGCTCTTCAACCACCCCAGCGTCGAGGGCGTCTACGAGCGCCAGCTACCCCTCAATGTCCGCGCCCTCCTGCAGCTCGGCAACCGCTGCACCATCGACCAGTCGCAACAGGGCGTGCTCGGCAGAGGCCTGGACCAAGGCTTCGACCTGACGGGCCTGATCCGTCCGCCCAAGACGCTGCGGCCGTACCTCGACCCCTCGGCCATGGCCTACATCCACCTGTCGCACATTAGCTCTGGCGAGCGCCAAATCTTTGGTCTCTTTTCGACCACCAACAGCCAGGCCCATGTCGTCGTCCTGCACAAGAACCGCGACAGCGTCCAGGACATGCCCAACGTCGGCAAGCTGTACGGCGACATGCTGGCCCGCCGCCGCGACGCCGAGGCCGAGGCCCAGGCGGGCGCCACTCCTGCAGCGCTGGCGGCCCTGTCTTCGGAGGCCGAGAAGGAGGCCGCTCGACAGGCGGCCGCGGCAGCCGCCACGTGGCGCGAGTGCTTCCCGTACCAGGATGCGCTCACTGTCAAGGTCACGCAGGTTACGACGCGCCGCAAAGCCTTTTTGGAGATTGGTGACGTGGTCAAGAAAATGCGCAAGGAGGAGATTGGCCGCCCGCAGATTCTCGTCGTCCAGTCGTCCCAGCGCAACATGCTCGTCCACGACATCCCCGTGCTGGGCGAGTTCCCCGTGCTGCCGCTCAAGTACGACCCGCTCGACAGCTCGCTGCCGCCTCTGGGCTGGCAGCCGGTGGTCGCCCGCCGCCTCGTCAACCACTACCTGGCCCTCGGCGCATGGGTGCTCCATCTGGTCGGCCTTGCCCGCTACGGCGACGTCCCCGTGTGCAACCTGGAGCGCGACGACCCGCGCTTCCTCATTGATGTGGCCTATGCGCGCCGGCTGCAAAACAACAATGTCGTGCTCTGGTGGTCCGGCAGCCCGCGGCCCGACCACGCAGGCTACGAAAAGGACGACGTAGCCGGTCCGCTCGAGACGGTGTCGCTGCCCAAGATTAACAACCCCGGCACGTTTGCGTCTGTCTGCATCGACATTGACGTGCGCAATCTGGCCATCAACACGATCCTGACGTCGTCGCTCATCAACGAGCTCGAGGGTGCCGACGCCGCCGTGTCCTTCAACCCGGCCGCCGACGCAGGCGGGGCGTTTGGTGACGATGCCGACGGTGGCGCGTCGACGCTCTATGCAGAGAATGCCTTTTCCAATGCCAGCATCCTCGTCCTGCGTGAGATGGTCAAGGGCTGGTGGGCCGAGGCCTGCCGGGGCAACGCCATGGCGGACCTGGTGGTGAACAACCTCGTGCGCTGGGTCGAGAACCCCGACTCGTTCCTGTACGACCGCGCGCTGCACTACTACGTGCAGATGATGTCGCGCAAGGCCTTCCAGCAGCTCATGGCCGACTTCCGCCGCGTCGGCTCGCAGGTGATTTTTGCCAGCGCCAACCGGCTGCTGCTGCAGACGACCAAGGCCGAGGTCACCAATGCCTATGCATACAGCCAGTACATTATCAAGAGCATCAAGAGCCGGCCGCTGTTTAGCTTTATCGAGATGGACATCAAGGAGTACTGGGACTACCTCGTGTGGTACGACGAGTACAACTACGGCGGCAAAGCCTGCCAGACCATTGGCGGCGGCAGCCTCGGCGAGCTCGTGACGCTGCCGGACGGCACGCAGGTCGAGGCCGAGCAGCCGCTCGAGACGATTATGCACTGGCAGATGAAGACGTTTTTGCCGGTGCGCCTGCAGTCCGTCTTCTCGGACTGGGTCGTCGAGTTTGTTCAGCTGATGCACGCGCTCAAGCGGCCCGCGGCCAACGGGCAGCACGGCAGCCAACCGCGGCTCACCCAGCTTCCGCCCGCCGTCTTGCACGGTGGCAGCGGCGACGTGGCGGATGGCAGTGTCGGCAAGGCGCTGCTGGGCGCGTCATTTGAGCGGCCTCTCAAAAAGGAGATTGCCGCTTTGATTTCCACACGCAACCGGGAGATGCTGCACCCCGAGCTGGCCTCGGACTACGACTACCCAGTGCTGCCCGGGTCGCTCGTGATGCCTGCCCACAGGGACACTCGGTCGTCGTCGTCGTCAAAGAAAGTCGTCGCGGCCGTTGCATCGCGCGACCCCATCCTCGAGCTCGTCAAGTCGCTCATGCAGGTCCTGTCGCTGGACAAGAACATTACCATGGAGGCCCGCCTGCTGCGCAAAGAGCTGCTGGCGCTGTTTGACGTGCGCGAGTTCAGCCGCGACGCCGCCTTCCAGAACCCGTCGGAGAGCCTCAAGCTGGCCCAGGTCAGCTGCGACAACTGCACCACAGCGCGCGATCTGGACCTCTGCCGGGACGAGGATCTGCTGCCCGATCCGCAGGGCGGCGGGGCCCCCCAACCCTGGACCTGCACGTTCTGCCAGGCCGAGTACGACCGCATCGCGCTCGAAGAACGGCTCGTGGCCGCTGTCGAGGCCGAGGCGCTGGCGTGGTCCGTGCAGGACCTCAAGTGCGGGCGGTGCGGCGCGCTGCGCGTCAACGACTTTATGGACCACTGCACGTGTTCGGGCGAGTGGGGGCCGACGGTGCGGCGCGACGAGGTGGTGCGGCGGCTGCGGGTGTACAGCAATGTGGCGACGTTTTACGGTCTGCGGATGCTGAGCGATGTCGTGATGGAGGTCATGGGTGGGCTGTAGAGCCCAGGTGTGAGGTGTACATGCAGGTACAATCATAAAGAATGTGTACATGAGATGGACGGAAAGGCAGGACTGCATATGGATAACGGTTTGCCCACATTTTGGATGATTTATTGTATTTGTTGTTTTGGCGTTTTGTTTTATAGGGAAAAGGCGACCTGTCTCGGAATAATGAGTTCTGCACAGCATGAGTACACAGCATGAAGCATAATAGATGAAAAACATAAGACCCAGGAGCACTAAAAAATAAAATATAATTCAACCTGAGTTGTGACGATACGTAAAACACAGAAACAATTTGTCGAGCATTTTTGTCGTGAAATGAAAAAATAAATTAGGCAATTTGCCCGCACCTGGGATCGAACCAAGGACCTCAGCATTACGAGTGCTGCGCTCTACCACTGAGCTATACGGGCTTTCGATGGTCCGGATTGGTCCAGCGGAAGCCGCCTGAGCTGCTGATGAAAATTGTTGGTCCTATTGGAGCTTATACAGGTGGAAGCGTTGGCGAGTTGTGGAGCCGGAAAAATTCGAATTCTGACGGTAATGCAACATACCAGACGGCTGTGTTGACAATTCTGCAGTAATGAGAGAAACAGGAATTCGGCACCTGTGCTTTCCAAGACTGCAAACGGGAGAGAATGGATTCCAGAAGAAGGCAGGTAGCAGTGCGCACGCGATTGCCCAGCCACAGGTCCTTTACCTTTCTGGTGGTTCTGCCCAAGTTAGTTACAGTGACCGTTTCGACTTGCCATATTTTCTTCTTTGTTTGGGCGCTGTGACGACCTGCTCTCTATTAAATTTGCATGGGAAAGAAAGACGAGAAGACCAAAAGAATGACCTCACGTATACTCGTTCTTGCCCATTTACCGGGGTGTTGCCAGGTCGCAGTTTTCCTTTACAGATCTAGTCCACAAGAGAAGGCTCGATCACACAACAGAAAACAGTGTTGGAAAAAATGCGAAGCCCAGCTAGACATTCAAAGGCATAACTTAGCCGAAAAGGTGCACAGACCATGAAACATAATGGTGTTTTATATACTGAACATGTTGAAACATTGTAAAGTACAAACCAGTAAGGTCCAGTGGCCAAATGGCAAGGCGCTTGGCTACGAACCAAGAGATTGCAGGTTCGATCCCTGCCTGGATCGATTTTTTGGACGTCCTAAGTCATGCCATTCCTTTTTTTTTCTTTTTTTCTTTTTCTTTTCTTCCTGTATTTCTCTATGACATTGATTTTGTCTTTCCTTTACTCTCACACATTAATCGTAAACTGTATATGGCTCTCCCTAGGCTACGTAATTGTTGATATAAACGCTCCTTCTGTTTGCTCTGTTTACTTTCATTCTCAGCTCCTTCTTATTCTTTCCTAAATCGTGCATAGCAACAAGTTGAGTTGTGCAAGTGTATCGTGCCTTCCGTGTTTTGATCTTAGCCACAAATTGTTCACCCCCTTTTATTTCTCTCGCTCGTCGCCCTCCTCATATCTAGTTTTTCCCCTTACCATGCCTTCTCAAACAAATATTGGATAACACGTATTGGTGCCGTTCGACTATTGACATCGATTCACTACGTCAACATCAGTATTCTCCTACTCTACACGTCTCTCTGCCACCCCGAACGTGATTCCCTTCCTCGACGCCATAATGGCATCTCTAGACACGTTGCCGCCTGAGTTGGTGATGATGATCTGCGAGTTGGTCGCCGATTGGGACCGGGCCAAGAGAACCCAGCATCCCGACCTTCCACGCGGGACGCAATGCTCTCTCTATCCCCTCGCTGCTCTTTCTGTCGTCTCGCGACAGTTCCAACACTGCATGGAGCGGATCTTGTACAAAGTCATGTACATCTCGGACCAGGACATTCCTGAGTTTGCCAACGTGGCTCGCGGATCCAACGGCTTGCGCTTCGGCTACATTAAACACCTCCGTCTCACTGTGCTGCTCCCCACATACACCTGTGAAACATGTGAACAACACGAAACATTGGAGACAATGGAGCAAAATGACCGCATTTTTACACGAGGAGTGTACGACTTGCTCCGGGTCTTGGCCACCTTTGAAACTAGTGCCGTTGGCCTTGAAAGCGACACCGACAACAACAAGGACACAGAGCTGGGCCTTACCTTGGAGCTGAGTGCAGCATCTCCAAGCGACAACCAGCATCAGTTCAACATTTACCGGTGTGACCCGAGCTATCCATTCCAAACAAAAGAAGATTTGGACCCGCAATACTGGGCGCACGCGCTTCATCGACACCACAAGCTGCCTATTCTTAATTACCATGCACGCGAGGCCGCGATTACGCTTCCCCCCTTATCCAACCGGGTTGTGGGCAGGACCAGTCCACTGGGGTTTGATTTCGACGAGCTGGGCGGGCGCCCAAAGCTGCCAAAGATTTCCAATGTGAAAACCCTCATCACGCGTCGTCAACCGCTCCGGCAGATCAGTCCGGCGTGTATAAGCTCCTTGCTCCGGGAGGAACTCAGCAACGTCGTCTGCGTTCGGCTGGAGCCGCACTTTTGCGATCTGGGCTTTGTTGGCACGGGGGGCACAAAACGAGAGCAATGGCAGACATTCGGAAACGACGTCCTCCACATCCTCCATGAGTTAAAGGGCCTTCAACTGAAGACGCTCAACACGTTGTCTGTCTTTCTGAGCCATACACCCCCCGGCGCTCCTGTGCCGGAGTCAGTCAATATCGACTTTTCACACACTGCGACGGGATACAAGTTCGCGCTGGCGTATACCCCCGACGATCCAGCAGTCAAAGCCATGAGCCAATTCTTCTTCAGGGCCAGCCGCCACTTGGAGCATGTGTCGGCCGCGTTCGTGGCCGATGCTTGGCATTTTTTAAAAACCCGTCTCCCCAAAGACGATAACGACGGGCCTGGATCAGATCCGACTGAATCAGATCCGACTGAACCAGGCGGTCCGAGCAGCCCAAGCGCAGGCCCAGGCCAACGGTGCTGGCCTCGTCTCAAGACACTGGCCTTGACAACGCCCCTCCTGTGACCCAAACACACGCGCGCCTAGCAAGAGCGCCGTCGAAACCAGCGTCCGAGGTCATTGGATTCTGTCATTAATATGAGCCCCTATATGACAATTCACCCCAATCATCCCCAGTTCGATCAAATGCATCATTCGCTGTTCTATGCTCACGCCGCAGGCCATGAGACACCGGGGGATGACGGTGATGAAGAAGAGGTGGACTATCTGCCGGTACCGCCATTGGTCCCAGAGACCGTGGACGAACGAGACGCCCGAGAAGCCACCTGCCTGCGCAATTCGCAGGACCTTGTCGTCCTCGCCGGCAGGGCGGCCTACGAGATGCCCAATCTGGAGACCCTGGAGATCTGGCAGACGTGCACAGCGCATGCGAGCATCTTTCGATACGAAGCGCATCCTAGCCCAACTGTGACGTTTTTGGGCCACGTCAATATGAGGGACATGTAGACACGGAGAGCCCGGGACGCCTGGAAAAAGGTGGCAGAGGCGCGCAAAGGCAAGGTGACGCCGCTGGCCGTCCGGTTTGAGCAGCTACCTGGGTTGTCAAGGAATCTCCGCGGCAGTTTCTGCATCTACAGCACCATCGACAGCCTCAAGTTGCGCGACCTTGTCATCGACCCGGTATCCCTGTATGCCGCCCGATGGGAAGAGTGCCCGATGGACAGGAGCGTCTCCCGCGTGATGCTCGGGTACACATGAATATCGTGGCAGTGTCTGAGCAGATGCTCGGGTATACATGAATATCCCGGATGCAGCCACTGCGTTGAGACGAATGCAAAGAGAGTTGAGAAAGATGCAGGGGAATCGTTCTTATGCAAAAGATACAAATCAATAATATGTTGCATCGCCATTGCATCGCCATTGTGAACATCTCATGAATTCAGGGGTTCGTTGGCTTAAACCGATTACTCAGCCTTCAACTGCGAGCCCCATACACACGTGACTATAAGCTGGTAATCTACAATCACGAACTGTGCGGGGCTTCGAAGGCGGCGCCAGTGGTTGCTAATCGTAGTAGAGAGGGGCGCGAAATAGGGGGCCAAGCAGCGGCCAGCGCAAGCGTGCCTGTGGGTGCTGTAACTGGTTCGACCCTGCCTAGACCGCCTAGGCGGCAGCATTGTGGGTGGAATTTTAGGTGGGATGGCAATTTTTGGGATTTTTCGAATGGGAGCTTCTCGAAATCTTCGGAAGCTTTGGGGCTAGAGAGACAGACAGAGACAGACAAGCAACAAGTACCAACAGCCGTCCAACGCCCCGCGAACAACATCCTTTACAAATTGCACTGCACGATAGTATCACGACGCTCGCCGCCGAACCAGCAGCATCCACGCGAAGACGCGAAACAGCAGGTCGAATTCGGAATTCGGACGAGACGACGGCATACGGAGTCCTGACGCCGCAGCTTGCCTTGTTGAGCTTTCGAAGCAGTCCGGCCATTCTGCAAGGCATTGCGACCGCCGTTTGCCTTTTCTGCTTCTCCGTCTGTTCTTTTTACTAGCCGCACTCTCTTTCGTCACTCTCTTTCGTCTCAACAGCCGTCTTTCCTTCGTTTCCCGTTGTGTCTTTTGCCTCTGCAACGATGTCGTTCGGAGGGCAAACACCCACGATCATTGTCCTCAAAGAGGGTGAGCTAGCCCCTGGAGGCCCTTGCGCGGCGTCTTTTGTCTTGCCTTGGCCCATCGCTGACTGACTTCCTCCCCCCTCCCTTTTTGTAGGCACCGATACCTCCCAGGGCAAGGGCCAGATCGTGTCCAACATCAACGCCTGTCTCGCCGTCCAGGCCACCATCAAGTCCACCCTCGGCCCCTATGGCGGCGATCTGCTCATGGTCGACGCCAACGGCCGCCAGACCATTACTAACGACGGCGCCACCGTCATGAAGCTGCTCGACATTGTCCACCCGGCCGCGCGCATTCTGGTGGACATTGCCCGGTCACAAGACGCCGAGGTCGGCGACGGCACGACGTCCGTGGTCGTGCTGGCCGGCGAGATCCTCAAGGAGGTCAAGGAGCACGTCGAGCAGGGCGTCAGCTCGCAGGTCATCATCAAGGGCCTGCGGAGGGCCTGCACCATGGCCGTCAACAAGATCAAGGAGATTGCCGTCAACACGGACGAGGCCAACCGCCGCGAGACCCTGAGCAAGCTGGCCGCGACCGCCATGACAAGCAAGCTGATTAAGCGCAACACTGAGTTTTTCACCAAGAGTGCGTCTGCCACAGCCTCTTCCTCCTGTCTCCCTCTCTCTCTCTTTCTTTTTCTTTTTTTTTTGCCATAGTTTCATACCCCGGTACTAACCCCCCCTCCAGTGGTCGTTGACGCCGTGCTGTCCCTCGACCAGGACGATCTCGACGAAAAGTTAATAGGCATCAAGAAGATTCCCGGCGGCTCGCTGACCGACTCGCTCTATGTGGACGGTGTCGCCTTCAAGAAGACCTTCAGCTATGCCGGCTTCGAGCAGCAGCCCAAGTCCTTTGTCAAGCCCAAGATTGTCTGCCTGAACGTCGAGCTCGAGCTTAAGGCCGAAAAGGACAACGCTGAGGTCCGTGTCGAGCAGGTTTCCGAGTACCAGGCCATAGTCGATGCCGAGTGGCAAATCATCTACCGCAAGCTCGAGGCCGTCTACAAGACCGGCGCCAAGGTCGTCCTCTCCAAGCTGCCCATTGGCGACCTCGCCACCCAGTACTTTGCCGACCGCGACGTCTTTTGCGCCGGCCGCGTCGCCGCCGATGACATGGAGCGCGTCGTGCAGGCCACCGGCGCCACCGTGCAGTCCACCTGCTCCGACATCCTGCCCGAGCACCTCGGCACCTGCGGCGTCTTTGACGAGCGCCAGATTGGCGGCGAGCGCTTCAACCTGTTTGCCGACTGCCCCGAGGCCCGCACCTGCACCCTGGTCCTGCGCGGCGGCGCCGAGCAGTTCATTGCCGAGGTCGAGCGCTCCCTGCACGACGCCATCATGATTGTCAAGCGCGCCATTCGCAACCGCAGCATCGTCGGCGGCGGCGGCGCCTGCGAGATGGAGGTCTCGGCCTACCTGCACCAGTTCGCCGACAAGAACGTGCCCCACAAGCAGCAGGCCATCATCAAGAGCTTCGCCAAGGCCATGGAGGTCATCCCCCGCCAGCTCTGCGACAATGCCGGCTTCGACGCCACCGACATCCTCAACACCCTGCGCGTCGAGCACCGCCACCGCGGCCACACCTGGGCCGGCGTCGATTTCGTCCACGAGGGCGTCGCCGACATGATGGAGCGCTTCGTCTGGGAGCCCGCCCTCGTCAAGATCAACGCCCTGCAGGCCGCCACCGAGGCGAGCTGCCTGATCCTGAGCGTCGACGAGACCATCCGCAACGAGGAGAGCGCCCAGCCACAGGCACCCGGCCGGGCGCTGCCGCCGGGCGCGGCGCAGCGGGCGCTCCGGGGCCGTGGCCGGGGCATGCCGATGCGGTAAATATAATAGGGGCGGCTTCGTGACAGAGGAAAAAGGGGGGAAAGAAAAAGAGTTGGCAGAACGTGGCGGCTATAGAGAGGGCTGGAGACTATGTGTAAGAGGAGGATGCGCAAAATCTACGGCTGTACCCGTCATTGATAGAATAAAAAATATGGAGGTGGTGTTCATACGGTCACTCTTTTTTTTATTATGCAAGGGGAACCCCAAAAAAATCTCTTCGGCAAAAGACAAAAATGGACGGGAGGCAATGTATTGTAGATGTGATACCTACTGTTTTTGGGGGAGGGGAGGTTAGATCGAAACAAAAAAGTATCAAATGTTCAAAAATGTTCAAAATAGAGTATTTTATGAAGCTCATCCAAAACGTAAAAATGTGCAATTGTATCCTAACAGCATAGAGAAAGGACAAAACGTAAATATGTGCTAAGAATCGCAGATCCACGGAAAAGGAAATGCTCATGTGTCAAAAACATATAGCTATCCAATCAGGGACATGAACACATTATTCGTTGAAGCAAGAAAACAAGGAGGTATGACACAAGGAAAGTCTAGAAAAATAAAAGCGTAACAATCTGGTATCCATGAAAGGAGCAGAGGTGCCAGCCTTTTACAAGAAGAGAAAGAGACGAAGATAGATTCCGAGAGAAAAAAAAAATTCCATACCTCACATGTCGCTGCAAATGCCATCCGCTCGCTTGTCTTGTTCATTTTTGATTGTCTCAATGAGACGCTTTATTTTATTTTATTTTTCCCCTTGTCAACTATCCCTGTAGACCGCTGAACTGAACGTCCTCGAGCCGGTCACCGTCGGGCAGTTTGGGTCCACCACTGCTGGGGTCGACACCACCGCTGTCGCCAGCATTTCCACTCGGTCCACCAGCAAGGGCACCACCAGGGGCGTCGTCAAGGTTGCCGTCGCCGTCGCCGCCCCGGGCAGCCTCTTCGGCCGACGAAAGCAGGCGGCCAATGTCCATCTTGGAGATGAAGCGGTTGATGCTGGCGTCGCCGGTGCCGTCAGGGCTGGGTTCCGGGTCAGGCTCCAAGTCCATGGCGGGCCGCAGGCCATTGTTGGTGCTGCTGCCACCATTGTCCATGTTGTTGGCGCTAGCGCTGACATGGCTGCTGCTGTCATCATTGTTGGTAATGTCCGTCAAGAGGATGGCATTGCTGTGGCTGGCGGAGCTGTTCCGGTGACTCATGGAGTGATGCTGTTGTTGTTGCTGCTGCTGCTGCTGCTGCTGCTGTTGGGGATGTTGCTGCTGCTGCTGCGAGAGATGTTGCTGTTGGTGCTGCGGGTGGCCGCTGTCGCTAATGTTGACATCGTCCACGACACCAGCAATGTTGTCGACAATGTCGTCGTGGACAATGGACTCGTGATGTGGGCCGCCTCCCAGGTTCATACTGTGATGCATGCTGCTGTCGTCGTTCATGTCGTGATTCATTATGCTGCTCATGTCATCGTGCAAGTGGTGGGCGCTGCCACCGTTTCCGTTGTTGTTCCCAGTGTTCCCCGTGTTCCCACCACCAGTGATGTTGCCACTATGACTTGGGTTGCCATGGCCTTCAACACCACCAAGAACACCACTGATACTGTTGCTGTGACTGCGCAGGCTTCCCAGGTGACCCTGGGCGTGGGCACCCATGCTGCTGTTGAGGTCGAGGTTCGCATCGTCGTCATCCTCGTCTTGTGGCTCAATCAGCATGTCCAGGTCGCGGTAGACGGCGGCCTCGCGTTCGCGCTCGGCCTCGTCGTCGTCAACACCGACACCTACAATGCCACGCGCATCGTGCACGCCGCCGCCGCCACCAGCCAGATGGCCATGGTGCTGCTGCTGCTGCTGTTGTGGCTGCTGCGGCTGTTGCTGTTGCTGTAGTTGTTGCTGTTGCTGTTGCTGTTGCTGTTGCTGTTGCGGCTGCTGCTGTTGCGACTGCTGTACATGGCTAAGCGGGTTGGCGTGAGAGTGGGCATGCGTGTGAGCGTTGTGGTCGGTGACCTGGCCGCCATGCGCCTGGTGGTGTATAGCGATACCACCACTACCAGGGCCACCACTGCCACCACCAACGCCCGGACCACCAGCACCGCCGGGCCCGATACCGGAGCTGTCGCTACCAACGATGTCATCGTCATCGGGCGCATTTAGCAACGACGTAAAGGCGTCAGTCGTGTGATGGTGCTGGTGGCTGAGTTGATGGTGTGCGCTCTGGCCGTCCGTGTCATGGAACGAAGCAAATGGATCGTTGTGAACGATGCCTGCGTGATGGTGCGGGCTCTGGTGCTGGCTACCCAGCGCCGCATGGCCGGACTGCTGGCTCAGCTGGTGGCGGGAATGGTGGCCCGTGGCCCCGGCTCCACCGCCGGTACCGCCGACACCACTCATACCCGGATGTACAGACTGGCCGTGGCTGTGATGCGCATACTGGGTGTGGTGCTGGCCGAGTTGGTGGGGTTGACCTGGTGGTGATGGTTGGCTGATGATTTTAGGGTCGATGGGCTGGAAGGCGGAAGGGTGCGGGTTGGGAAGTGGTATCATAGAGTCGAGGGCGTGGTGGGAAGGGTGCTGTACCGGGTGGAGGCCGCCGCGCGGCTGGTCCTGCAGCATTGGGTTGTGGCCAGGCAGGGCCGCATGGGGCGGTATTGGAGATTCGGTGGGCGCGCGCAGAATCTGGCCAATGGACATGGCAGACACAGGACCCCGGATACCTTTGTAGCTGTCCGGGGTGACGGTGAAGGCAGGATGTGGTGGGGGAGGCGGTGGAGGTTGCGGGGAGGACGGGCTGTTGTGCGAGTGGTCGTCGGAGGGCTTGCCATCTTGCTCCATGGGCGTGGATGTCGACGACATGACGTCGACAAGTGAAGAGGGCGAGTGTATTGGCGGGGCGTTGGTTGTCGGCAACGGTGTAGAAGAAGACGACGAAGAGTTGTTGATTCCGATGTTGTTCATGCTGTTCATGTTCATGCTGTTCATGCTGTTCATGTTGTTCATGCCGGTGCTAGCGATGGAAAGAGACGCCCCGTCGGTGGCCGGAAGAGCTCCAGCGCCTTGGGATTTGGACGAGTCTTTGCAGTGGGCGCAATTGCGGATGACGTCCGACACGGTGTCCTTGATGCGCGTCCAGTGGTAGCGCTCGGCAATGGTGGCCGTGGTCTTGTTGATGCCAGCGTGCTGCTGCATGTGGATCTCGCGGGAGATGGCGAACTGGCGTTCCGGATTCGAGACCACCTCCTTGTCCTTGAGCATGAGGACGTCCCCGTCAAGCAGCTTGTAGGTGGTGGCGGCACTACGGAGTCTGCTTTTTTCGGCGCGGTCAGCCCCGTTGGGATATTCGCCGTACTTGAGGTAGTATTTGATCTTGTCGAAGCGGTCATCACTCACGAGATCGTCGTTCTCGCCGCCCTGTACCAGATCGCGACCGTAGATGATGGCATCGACCAGACGGCCCGGATAGCTCTTGAGATTGCCGCAGCCCTTAACACGGCCAATGCGCTTGAATCCCAGGGCGTCCCAAATCTTGCACGACGCCACGTTGGTTTCGTAGACAAGGTTGAAGACGGAGTAGGTGTAGCCCAGCTTGGGCGCCCAGTCCAGGTACGTCTCGCCCATGAGGCGACCGACACCGCGGTTGCGCGAGGCGTCTGTCACCAGGAAACCGGCATTGCAGATGTGGCTGGAGCGGCCCGGGTAGTTGGGCTTGATGTAGAAGCTGCCGAGGCACTCCTTGCTCCAGTCACGGCCCTCGACGACCTCCTCGGCGTGCTCGATGCGGCCGAGCAGCATGATGGCGCCAAAGTTCTGGAACCAGTAGTTGGCAAATTTCTCGAAAGGCATCGGGTCGATCATTGGATAGGTGTCGCCGCCTTCGATTTCCTTGCGGAACTGGTCGCTCAGGTACAGCAGCAAAGACGGGGGCACGTGCGTGCGCGACGCAAAGGGGATGATGGTGGCGACCGTCTGGCGATCGCGCAAGGTGACCTGGCGCGGGGCGACGTTGGGCGGCAGCACGGGGTTCGCAGGGTCAGGATACGGGGCGACACCGGAGACGCGATAGATGGTGGGCGCCTCCGGATCGTCCATGATGGCAGGCATGGTGGACGAACGGTCGCCCGGGAATCCCGGTAGGTGGAGGTTGGACCGTGCGAGCCGTGTCGGAGACGGGAAGATGGGTGTGGAGGCTGCTGCAGTCCGGACGAGAGGTCAGGGTGGGATGTTCCGGTGCAGGTGCCGGATTTGAAGGTGAGCGGCCACAGACGTAGCTGGGATGGTGAAGTGAAGTTTGTCGGCGTCGGTTGTCGTCGAGAGGAGAACTTTCTACGTGGAAAAGGTGATCACGTGATCAGATACGCCGCTTCTTGTTCTCTTACTCACCCGTATTTCGAGCTGGGCAGTAATGTCAAGATGAGGCTGCAAGTCTAGGTTAGCCAACACTGTTTACAGCGAGGTAAGAACTGGGTTTTTGTTTGGCCCTCAACAAAGAAGTTGAGAAGCAGCGCTGAGGGGATGCCGACTGGGGAGAATGGTGAGCTGTGGAAGCAAACAAGCTCGGCTAGCAGGGAATCGGCGGGCTGCGGCACAGATCTGCAGCAGGCAGCGTTCTAACAGAAATAGCGGGCATGGACTGGCGTGTTGAGTGCTGCGTTGCGCTGTGCAGTGTGCAGTCTGGCCGCCAACAGAAACCAAAATAGGTCCTATTAACAGGCAGACCAACGTCCAACAGGTCGGGAGGGCCTGGCCAAATGGGGTAGTGGGAGCAGCTGACACAAAGCTTTGTTTCTTACCTCGGAATAGGGACCGTGGAAGGATAGAACATGCGCCTCGTATCGTTGGTGGCATGAATGAAGGGCGACGATGGCGGAAAAGGAGAGAGATGGATGAAAGAGATAAAAAGAGAGGATGGGAGAATCGAAGGAGATGGACGAAAAGAAGGAAGCTTCTCTCCAAGCCCGAAGGTGCGAAGAAGAGGAAGGAGGGCGCGGGCAGTTTAGTGGAAGGAAAGACCGAGAGGTTGGCACACTGTGGGCGCCTGCTGTGAGGCTCAGGAAATGGAAACAACGACTGGCGTAGCGTGCTGGGATTGGATGAGCTTCGCGGTCGTGGAGCTGTCTATCGCTAAATGCCTCTGGAGAATATTGCTTCGGGGAAGGTGCTGTGGTGCTGTCAGTGACCTCCTGCCACGACAGGTAATACACGCTTTCCGACAGGGAGGCGGACTGTTCGAGGAAAAGAGCGACAGGGCGGGCGGCGGCAGCCCGGGAAGGCAGGTACGCGGTGCGCTGCGCAGAAGCAAAACAGCGCAGAAAGTGCAGGGGTCTTTTTAGGGTCTTGAGGTCAGAATTCCTTTCTGACCGCCGCTGCTGATTTGTTGGGTCTGGAGCGGACTGGTCAGTCGAAACAAAAAGAAAGCAAAAGGCCTGAGAAACAGCGCAGTGGGTGGAGCAATGCTACCACAATAAAGGGACGAGTGGAAGAAAAACAGAAGGCAGGGGAAGGCACTCAACTGCCGCTAACAGCGGGTATCTCTTGGCTTGTGTGGACCATTTTTGGCTCCTGCCTTAACGAGGGCAGGCACGACCTCAAGGTCAATTACCGAGTGCTACAAAGTAAGTATGCCGAATACTACAGTACGACGTACTCGCTGGTACAAAGAAACGAAAGAAGAGTATGACACGAAACTTTGAAAGATTTACTTTGAAATCCCGGGACGCGACCGTGTGCCGTGTTGCGGATCTGTGGACCTGCGTTGGCTGGCTCAAACAGAACTGACGACCGGCAGAGTAGGAGAAAGTAGACCTAAGAAAGACGAATCATACATAATAAATATTAATAATACATAATAGAAATAAAAACAAAAACAAACAAATGAAGACTACATGGCCTCTTGACATTATTCATGTAGCAGAGGTACGGAACACCGCGACCACTTCAGTCGCTGAGCTCCCCGCTCCGCATCCAGTACGCAATCTCGGCGCGTGCCGGGTCTCGCGACGCCTTCGAGCCGACTCGCTGGCCCTGCTTTTCGTTCTTGGGGCCCTTCTTGACCCCTCGCGCCTCGGCCTGCTTCTGCCGCGGCCAAGGCAATGCGCGGTTGTGCTCCTCGGTGCCGCTCTCGTTGCCGCTCTCGTTGCCACTGGATTCGTCGTTGTCGTCGCTGTCGTCGTCGTCGCCGTTGCCGTCCATGTGGCTCAAGCTCGAGCTGACGCGTTTCCGTGCCGCCTGCCGCTGCGCGAGCACCTCCTCCCGCTGCTCTGCTGCACGTGCCTGCGCGTCCGCCCGTGCCACGCGCGCATCGGTCTTGCGCGCCGCTTCGCGGTCCATGTTGCGCCTGCAGCGGTCGTCCATCTCCGTTTTCAGTTCGCGCAACCTATTGTGCAGGAGCGTGGCTGCCTTGGTGGCGCGGCGTTCCTGGCGGCGCTCCTGGTCCAGTTTTTCGGCGGCCGCCTCGCGGGCCGTCAGCGTCCCGGCGGCGTGCGCCCGGTGCGCGATGCGCTGGCGCTCCCGGAACCGCTGGATCCGGAGGGCGTTGCTGATGGGCAAACCCATAATCTGCACGGACAAGGACCGACCGTCACGGAGCGTGACGGCCTGGTGGACGGGCGCGTCGCGCATGTGCGCGGGGATGCGCGCCGACACGAGCCGGATGGCCTTGGGGTTGTATACGGAGGCACCGTGCATGGGGTCCCAGGCGGGCAGGCGGGGGTTGTCCGAGTTGGAGTTGGGCGCCACGCGCTGGTCGACGGCGCGGCGGGGCAGCGGCTGGTACGGCCGGCCTGGCGGGTGGTCACGCGCCCAGGCCTCGGGCAGCCGGGCCAGCGCGAAGCGCAAGTGTACGAGGAAGTTGGTGCGGAAGTTCCGTAGGAGGTCGGTGTAGGCGCCGGGCCCTGTGGCGAGGGCGTCACAGAGGGCGTCGACGTCGACGTCCAGACCCGCCTTGAACCACAACGTCCGCGACACGTCACGAATGTAGCTGTAGTCGTAGCCGGCCACGTTTGGGTTCAGCACCAAGTAGTGCTCGGCTGGTGGTGGCGGTGGCGGTGCGGGTGTGACGTCGTGGAAAGGGGTAAAGGCATGATCGGCGGTAGTTGTCGAGTTGTTGTTGCCGTTGTTGTTGCCGGTCGCCGCCTCCCTTGGCGACGGCCGGCGGCGGACGGGCTCGCTCTGGTCGCGCCGCGGCCACACCTTGTAGCCCATGAGTGTGGTCAGATGGAACGATTCGAGCAGGGGCAGCTGTTTTCGCAGACGCTTGAAGTGGTCCGCCTGTTGTTTACCGCACAGGACGTGGCTGACCTCGAGCGTGCGCAGGCTGTTGCACTGCAGGATGGTATTCCACAAATCGCTGGTGTATGTCTGGGTGAAACACTTCTCGTTCTCGTTGGGCAGCGAGTCGTTTGTGTACATCAAGATCGACACATGCCGCAGCATCAGGCGGTGCGCTGGCCGCAGATTCTCGCCCACGTCGTTGACGAAATGCCCACCCCGGTGGAAACAAAACACGTTGCGCGACCACAGGACAGGGGCCGCCTCGCGGTGGACCTGCCGGTTGGCGAGAAGGACATTGAGACTATGTCGCTTAGCGCAGTTGCAGTCGTCGAGTGGTGAGTAGATGAGGTCCTTGTCGACAAAGGGTGGCCGCTCGCACGAGTACAGCTGCTACGGTTAGCCTTACATGCTGAACAGAGGCGGGTGGAAAGCACGTTTATGTAGACGTACATCTGAGGCAATCAGGCTGCAGTCGGCCTTGTGAATCTTCTCCCACCGTGGTAGCTCGATCAGGCTGAGCTCATAAATATGCTGCCGCAACTCCCACGGCAGTCGGAAGAAGCCCTCGGGGGGCTTGGGGGGCGTTGGCTCTCGCCGAAGAGTGATTGCCTGGCGTCTGAGATGCATGATAGCTGAGGGTGTAAACAGTGCCGGCGGGAATGGAATCGCAAGACGACGGGAAGAACTGGGCCGAGAGTATATATGCTGATGAACGATCAAACAAAAAGCTCAACTGGGCCAAATATTAAAATATCAAGCAAAAAAAATAATGAACGCCTCGAACGGCTCCCCGGGGAACCAAAATAAGGCAAGGGGGGTATCAAAAAGCTGTTTTCGACCAGGTGGCTCGCAAAGACAACAGGACAAAGGGATCAGACAAAGACAACGCTCGAGCTGGTATACCATAAATAAACAAGCGAGACGTAAATACAAGTTGATGATAGTAAGGGCCTGTTGAATTTATTTATTTCAAAAAAGTTTGGCTGGGCAGCCACGCTCCAGTTCATCCATCCCACATCACTTCCTCCATCTCCCTTCCTCGATGCATACACAACTTCCAGTCGCTCCTTTCATGCCACCAGCCTTTCTGCCTCGCTCCACTAAGTCTGCCAATAACAGGAGAGAGCATTCAGTTCAAAAGAGCCCTCTTCTTCTTGTGCCACTCTCATGGTTGGGTCAGATCGGAGACCAAGGCCAATGCGTGCTTGCTATCGTGACGTCTAGTGTGGAGGCCTACCATGCTTGGTCACTGCGGATTCCCATGTTGAGTCACTGGGGTTCATGAAGGGAAAACATAAAGATACTCAGGAATGAGACAAGGCACTCCGTACGCCGTAGACCATAGAAGAGATGCATTGTGAAGATTGATAGCGTCAAAATGAGCTCGTTCCCTCAAAGAAGTCGCATCGTTTTTGTTAGGCCTTTGTGTTGTTGTACTTGTGTGCATCCCTTTGTTGTCTTCCGTTTTCAGCATAAAATGGCACAGGCCATTGTCATTGGCCGCTAAAGACTACTCTCCCCACTGGCCCTGCAGTTAACACCGCCCCCTCCCACTTTGTACAAACACCGCCTCGCCCCATCTGTCGTCTAAGCCTTGAGAACCTCCGCAAAGGGCACTCCGCAAGCTTTGTATGATACAAGACGGACTATGGCGTGTTTTGTCGTACTCCGTACAGAGAATGCCTTGGTGCTTGGCCTCTTCTCTGTCTGACTGGTTTTATTAGTGAGTCACCGGAGTCGCACTGAAGCATACAGTGAGCCGTTGCAAACGCGCCAAGATACCAGAGAGCACAGTAAATAACAGAAGAAGAAACAGGGAGGGAGCTAATACGCGGACTGGAGTCACTGGAGTATGGTTGGCTGTCGTCGCACGCATCCTCCCGTTGACTCGTTGTATCAGACGACCATTCATTGCTAACTAGCGAATTCTGTGATAACGGAACTGCACCCGAGTGATTGGACACTTTGATATGCTGCGGAGAGAGGACATGTGAGGCAATGAGATAATCTTGTTAATTTTAGTTTTATGTTTCTATGTTTTATGTTTGTATTTATGATTATTTGTTATTTTTGTGTTGTTGAATCATTCAAGTCAATAACTGCTACGTTCTTCAATAATGACATACCACGAACACTTGCAAACTAACAGGCAGAGACAAAGCCAACACGCAAACAACATACTCGGAAAGTTCCCTGTAGACTCTGGCACTGCTGCGACGCACTTACACGGTTTCTAGGTTCTATATTGATGCGAGATCCCGGGACTGCGACTCTACTGCATATGTTTATAGCCACAGACCCGGCCAGCCTGATGGCCCCAGCTGTCGAGACACGGCCAAGTGACCGACAATCAGCTTCATCACATGCATCCTAAAATGGAAGATCCATGGTATGACAAACTGTCGAAGCTGCTGTGAAGCTGCTGTTCTTTGAAAGTCTTGTTTTTTGAAATTTGACTTCGAGTAAAGTCACGTGTCCGGCTTCGTCAATGCCACTTTCCTCGAATGTCTGACGATGGCCCCGCTCTTTCCCATTTCATCCCAGGTCTGTTTTGCCAGGGCGCGCCTTCCTTTGTCGCGCGCCGACGCGACTTTCCGGTCCCAATTCCAATTGTCTCCCGCCCTTCTCCGCCTTTTCTCGTCTCCACCTTGTCGAGGGTGGTTTGTGGTTTGCGACGCTGCATTTTGAAGTTGTATTTTTGTGACGAAGTTATTCTCCCCCCGACGCATGGTGACGTTGTTACGTGTTCTGGACGCATTGAATTGGCTTACACGACCTTTGGTTGTCAGCTGACTACGGCCAATTCTCAACCGTTTCGCCACCCACCCACACGCCATCATGGCATCCGCCGATGAGCTCGAAAAGGCGCTGGTGGCCGCCGCCGACGCCGTCTTCCGCAGCGACCGCAGCAACCTGACGGTCAATTTTGTGCGGAAGCAGGTCGAGGCGGAGCTGGGCCTCGCCGACGGCTTTTTCAAGTCGGACGAGTGGAAGGCCAAGAGCAAGGACATAATCCAGACAGCAGCAGTGCGTAGCGTCCACCTCGTTTTGTGGTTTTGTGGTTTTGTGGGAATGGCACATGACAAGTTCCAAAGAATGGTCGCTGGATTGCTAACGTGTATATACAATGTACAGAACAAGCTGCTCGACGCCGAGGATGATACTGTAGGCCCGGCATCCGCTGCCGAGGAGAAGCCCGCTGCCGAACCCGAACGGAAACCCAAAGCCCAACCCGTCAAGAAAGAAGCAAAGCGGCCCCCACCCAAAAAGGCCGCCAGCAAGAAGAGGAAGGTTGTCAGCGACGACGAGGACGAGGACGAGGATGAAGACGACTTTGACGAGGACGACGCGAGCGACGACTTTAGCGATGCACAGTCATCAGACGACGACGGTGGCGACAGCGACAGCGACAGCGACAGCGACAGCGCCAGCGTGGACGAGGACGAGGACGATGAGTTTGAAGGGGAGAGCGCCAGCCGGCGCAAGAAAGCCAAAGTCGGCGGCAGCAAACACAAAAAGTCGGCCAAGCCTAACCCTAAGCCGAAACCCAAGCCTAAGCCTAAGAGTAAGGCGGTTGCAGCGCTGGCCGAATCCGGTGCATCGTCTCCGCTGAGCGAGCTCGTGAGCGAAGACGTCGACAGGGACGCGAGTGGCGGTGCCGACGGCAAGGACGATGGCGAGGACGACAACGACAACGAGAGCGAAATGTCGGATGTGATTGATGACAGCCCGCCAAGGCAGAGGGTGAAGAAGGGCGAGGGCAAATCCAAGTCGAAGGCGGCACCGAAACCAAAGAAGCGAAAGGCCGATGACGACGGCGACAACGGTTCCGACAGCTCGTTGTCTTCGGTGCTCGACGACCCCCCGGCAAAGCGCAAAAAGGGAGCGACCGCGGCGGCGGCGGCGGCGGGCGTCTCCCCCGACGACGCCGAGGTCAAGAAGCTCCAGGGCCAGCTCGTCAAGTGCGGCCTGCGCAAGATCTGGGCGTTTGAGCTGCGCAAGTACGGTGACGACACCAAAGCCAAGATCCGCCACCTTAAGGGCATGCTGCGCGACATTGGCATGGACGGCCGGTTCTCCGAGTCGCGTGCACGCGAGATCAAGGAGCGGCGCGAGCTCGAGGCAGACCTGGAGGCCGTGCAGGAGATGGACCGCAGCTGGGGTCTGCACTCGAGCAGCGGACGGCCCTCGCGCAGCCGGGCGCCTAGGAAGTCGCTCAAGGAAACGAGCTCCGAAGACGAGGACGACGAGGCCGGGGGCGGCGGTGACGAGCAGGGTGACGACGATGACGATGCTGAGACAAAAGCCGACAACAAGGGCAGCGCTTCTAAGAAGAGCGGCGACAAGGATGACGGCGGAGATGACGGTGACGACAACGACGACGACGACGACGACGATGCCCCCAAGACGACGGCCAGGAGGAGTCGGTTCGGCGACCTGACGTTCCTGGGATCCGAAAGCGAGAGCGACTCGGAGTGAAGGTGATGGCCAGGCTCATTGAGGCTCTGTGTCCAAGGCGGAGAATGTCTCGTTCAAAAGCGACAAAAATGACCAGTGACGGATGATGGGCGGCATGGTATGTGGCGTTATGTACTTCTTCCATCTTTGTTTTCCATCGGCTGTTTCGTGGCCGTGCTCATTTGCGGCAGGCCTTCTGGCCCCAAGATCGAGCAAGTAATACAGCCAAGTGTTCACGCATCACGACAGGAAAAGCAAAGAGTGCCTTGGAGTGCCTGGGCGTACCGTCGCCTCTCATTTGGCAGCGTTCATCCGCTGCGCGAACAAGCTGAAGACGGCCACCGAGCCCATGAAAAGGACCGCATTGTAAAACTACGAGCGTCAGTCGTCTTTCTGCGTACACGCGCAAAACCACCGCTGCCCACATGTCCACGTACTGCTCTGCGGGAGACTTCGCGCTCTTCGTCGTCGTTGCGAGCCTCGATAAAGAGACGCCGCAGGTTGGGGAAGCTGGCCTGCGCGGGTTAGCCTTCTGTGCTCTGTATAGATCCAAGGAGAGGTGCAACCATACCATTGAGAGAGGATGTTGCTGGGCGCCAATTGTCTCCTTGGAGCGGTGCGTTGTATGTTGTTGAGTCGAAGAACGGTGAAGGGGCAAAAGCTCATCGAAGCCAGTCACGTGTAATGCACCCCGCCGAAGAAACTTGGGGAGCTCCAGGGGCCTCCGCTCAGGGGACCATTTGGTGGACGATGTACGACAGTGAGGGGCGAGGCCCCCAATAAGGCCCAATCAGCGTAGACCCTGCCCGCCAACGGCCCTGGCCTGGACACCAGTTTGTCGCCCACCAGTCTGGTCAACCTCTGGAACCTCACCGTGTCCTGTCTGTCCACACAAAGTCACCATACCCAAATCACCACCACCACATCCACAACCCACCCCTGTCTCGCAGGCAGCATCATTCTTCCACGGCCACCACGACACTCGTCCCACACCTCGACGACATTGATTGTGGGAGCGCACATTGACACGTACCCGCGGCGGTCGACGTCCCGCCTCACCCCCTTTTCGCCGTCCTCCTCGACCGCCCACCTCGTTGCTCGTTGATTTCAGTCTCTCCGCCACCGGCCGTCGAATCTCCCGACGTGCCTCTCGTCTTGTTCTCCTTTCCCTGTCTCGACTCCGCACATCTCCCACCACACAATGCAGGCCGTCAACCGTATACGCGGGGCGTTTGCCGTCCCCCGCAAGGGCGAGACCTTTGAGCTGCGCGCCGGCCTGGTCTCGCAGTACGCCTTTGAGCGCAAGGAGGCCATCCAGAAGACCATCATGGCCATGACGCTCGGCAAGGACGTGTCGGCGCTGTTCCCCGATGTGCTCAAGAACATTGCAACGAGCGACTTGGACCAGAAGAAGCTGGTGTACCTGTACCTGATGTACGTCGCGCCCTGCTCCCTCTCCCTCCGCCTCCCCGTTCTAACCTTGTAGGAACTACGCAAAATCACATCCCGACCTGTGCATTCTCGCCGTCAACACTTTTGTGCAGGACTCCGAAGACCCCAACCCGCTGATCCGCGCGCTCGCCATTCGCACCATGGGCTGCATCCGCGTCGACAAAATGGTGGACTACATGGAGGAGCCTCTGCGCAAGACCCTGCGTGACGAGTCGCCGTACGTGCGCAAGACCGCCGCCATCTGCGTCGCCAAGCTCTTCGACCTCAACCCGTCCATGTGCATCGACAACGGCTTCCTCGAGATCCTGCAGGAGCTCATCGGCGATCCCAACCCCATGGTCGTCGCCAACTCGGTCCAGGCCCTGTCCGAAATCACCGAAACCGCCCCCGAGACCCACGCCCTCGTCGTCACCCCGACCACCCTCAAGAAGCTGCTTATGGCCCTCAACGAGTGCACCGAGTGGGGCCGCGTCACCATCCTCAGCACCCTGGCCAACTACCCGCCCAAGGACGTCAAGGAGTCGGAGCACATCTGCGAGCGCGTCGCGCCGCAGTTCCAGCACGTCAACCCGAGCGTCGTGCTGGCGGCCGTCAAGGTCGTCTTCATCCACATGAAGACCATCAACGCGGAGCTCGTGCGCCAGTACCTCAAGAAGATGGCGCCGCCCCTCGTCACGCTGGTCGCCAGCGCCCCCGAGGTGCAGTACGTCGCCCTGCGCAACATTGACCTGCTGCTGCAGGCCAAGCCCGACATCCTGAGCAAGGAGATGCGCGTCTTCTTCTGCAAGTACAACGACCCGCCGTACGTCAAGCTGCAGAAGCTCGAGATCATGGTGCGCATCGCCAACGACAAGAACTTTGAGCAGCTGCTGGCCGAGCTCAAGGAGTACGCGCTCGAGGTCGACATGGACTTTGTGCGCCGCGCCATCAAGGCCATTGGCCAGGTCGCCATCAAGATTGAAAACGCCAGCGAAAAGTGCGTCACCGCTCTTGTCGATCTCATGGCCACCAACGTCAACTACGTCGTCCAGGAGGTTGTCATTGTCATCAAGGACATTTTGCGCAAGTACCCGGGCTACGAGGGCGTCATCCGCTCCATTGTCGAGCACATTGACGAGCTCGACGAGCCCAACGCCCGCGGCTCCTTAATATGGATTGTCGGCGAGTACGCCGAGAAAATTAGCAACGCCGACGACATCCTCACCGGGTTTGTCGATGGCTTCATGGAGGAGTTCACCCAGACCCAGCTGCAGATCCTGACCGCCGTCGTCAAGCTGTTCCTCAAGAAGCCCAGCGCCAACCAGTCGCTCGTCCAGCGCGTCCTGCAGATGGCCACCGCCGAGAACGACAACCCGGACATTCGCGACCGCGCCTACGTCTACTGGCGCCTGCTGTCGGGCGACCTGGACGTCGCCAAGTCCATTGTCCTGTCGCAGAAGCCCGCCATCGCCACCACCATGACGTCCCTGCCCCCGGCCCTGCTGGAATCGCTGCTCGCCGAGCTGTCCACGCTGGCGTCCGTCTACCACAAGCCGCCCGAGTCGTTTGTTGGCAAGGGCCGCTTCGGTGCCGACGAGATCCAGCGTGCCGCCATCCAGGAGCAGCGCCAGGACGCCGCCGAGAACCCCATTGCCGCCTCCGTCGCTGCCGCCGCCGCCGCCGCCAACGGTGGCCACGCACCGCCCCAGAGCAACGTCGAGAACCTGCTGGACATTGACTTTGACGGCGCCGCACCGGCGTCCGCCGAGGCTGGCGGCGCCAGCACGCCCGACCGCACCGGCAGTCCTTCTGTTGCATCGCCGTCGGCCTCGCCGCCACCGCCATCCGCCGGCCCCGGTGGCATCGCCGACATGATGGGCCTCTTTGATGCACCGTCCGCCAGCGCCTCTTCGCCGGCACCGCCGCCTGGCATGAACGACATCCTGGGCGGCTTCGGCAGTCTGGACCTGAACGGTGCTGGCCGTGCCACAGCACCTCCACCGCCCGGTGCGCAGCTTCAACAGCAGCAACAGCAGCAGCAGTCGAGTGGAGGCGGCGGCAATGGTGATTTGCTGGGGCTGTTCTAGAGTAAAACGGATGGCGTATAGTGTCGTCCATTTCCTTTTCTTGTTTTCCTCTATTTCCTTTTCTCTTGTTGAAAAGCACGGTGTTTTCTGTCTCCCGTTTTGGTCCCCAGCTTTCCATTTGTTTTGCCGTACAACTCTTCAACAATCCTATTATTTTGCTTATTTTCTATCGTAGCATGGCAATGAAAGAATAAAACCATTCATATTAAAGGATAAAGCCCTACAGCGTAATAAACTCCAGAATATATCTGTAGTATATATATGACTGTTTCAATTCATTGCATCTATCATTCTTTTATCAATCATACGTGTGGTCATTATACATTTTACAAGGTCACATCCTGCTCTACCGACCTTGCCACCGCTCCTTCCAGCCACCCTTTTCGTACAGCCAGATCGCTTCGATCGCATACGCCCGGCTGCCTCGGTGGCCCTGCCCTTCCTCCACGCTTGCGGCTTCCCGCAGCGTCTCCAACACCCGGCCCTCGGACAAGCTCCGCCAGATGCCCTGCGCCAGCTGCACCCGCGGATCGCTCGTCATCTCGTCCACCGCCGAGCCCGTGCCCTCGCGGCCGCTCTCTCCGCCGCCCCCGCCAAACTCCCCCTTGCCCAGCCGGTACAGCAGCCGCCCCAGAAGCTGGAACGCCACGCACCGCTGCGACGGCACCGCACTCCGCGCCAGCCGCGCCAGCTCGCCAATCGTGTAGCCGGCCGCTTCGGGGGCCACGCCGTGATGGTGCAGGCCTTTGGAGACGGGGATCTTGCGCGAGAGTTTGGGCGGGATCAGGCGGCCGCGGAAATCAAAGCGCAGCTGCGACACGGCGACCGACTCTTGGCCTGGGTAGTAGGGCGACTCGCGGTCGGCAGGGCTGTCGGCGGTGGGGAGGGGCGCCATCCAGGCGAGACGGGCGGGGTCGGCAGGAAGGTTCGGAAAATACTTGGCGTGGAGGGTCTCGAGGAAGTCTGGGTCGTTGGGATCGAGGTCCGGCATGGCCGGCGCGTGAGGGAAGTGGATGGCGCCGGGGCCGCTGTGATCGTGATCGTGATCGTGGTCGTGGTCGTGGTCGTGGTCATGGGCATTTTCAGCCGACGAAATCGGTGCTAGGTCACTGGCCGCTGGCACATTCTCGTCGTTTGTGAAAAGCGCCTCGTCGCCTGTCTTGCGGGCTGCGGGCGTGTCATCCTTTTCCTCGGCATCCTCGACCGAGGCAAATAGCACCTTCTTCTTGGGTTTGGTAGGCTCCTTGGGTTCTACAGCCGTAGACGTACTGCTCTCTTCTACTCGGATCTCTGGTGGTGGTGGTGGTGGTGCTGCTGCCTGCTCTGGTTGAGACGGAACTTCGCCTGGCAAGCCGGCATTGCTGCCGTCGTCGAGGTTGGCACGCCGCAGCAATATCTGCAGCAACGCCGGGTCGAGGTTCGACAGCAGCTCATTCCGAGCTTCGGCAATCTCGTCGGGCGCCATACTGGCCAGCATCTCACGGTTCTCGCGGTCGATGCCGGCCTTTTCGTCAAAGGTGCCAACATCTTTAACATCTTTCGACTGTTTCGGTGCAGGAGGACGGGAAGAGGACGAGGGAGAGGGGGACAACGAGGGAGGAGCCGGACCGAATGTGGCCTTTGGAGGATCTGCAGAAATCCCGGCTGCGACAGCAGCCTCGGCGGACTGCCGCTGCTGCTTGAACGCAGAGGTAAAACGCGCCCGTTTCTTCGGCTCTGGGAAGCCCGTTGATCGTGGTGTCGGGAACGAGGGGGGCTTAGCGGCGCCGACCTCCTTTTCCTGAATGTCGAGAACGCGCAACGAGCCGTCCATGGTGACTATGTGCTGCGATACGGGCGCAGAGTTGTTGTCGCAGTATGTGCAGAGTGCGTTCTTCGTCACTCCTGCGATGGCCTTCAGAAAGTCACAGAAGAGAAGGCTGCCGTCATAAAGTGGGGTCCTTGACGCCAAAATTTGCACCGCCACCCGTTTAAGGTTGTGGCTCAAATCAGAAACACGTGATCCAACTGCGTCAGCTTGTGCATTAGCGCCGATCCACATCAGCAGCCTTGGCCAGAGATTCTCCAATCGTCCCAAGTTGGGGGAGCCGAGCAGCCAATCACAGAGTGCCGTGACGTTCTGTGTTTCGTTTTGATAAGGGGCTGCTCCCGGTGTCCCATTTTGCCTACTCCGTGACTATGTGTTTTCAGCTTTCAAGTTCTGTATCAGTCTCTTGATGGTCGCACACTAGCTCGCTAGGGCATGTCCTTTTGCTTTTGGTACCGTGATGGATGCGCCATTTTTCGGAACACTCTCAACAGATGCCACCTTGAAGCCAGGTCACGTGGAATATAGAGAACGATCGTTGTCTACGGGGTAGATCGCTCGTAATCGGCCATCCGAACCGAAAAGGAAATCGCTGCCCCAAATAAGGTCCGGATTGGAAGGCACAGAAGCAGCGACGACAAATATTGGCTTGATCGTGGCTTCCTGATTGCCTCGCATCAAACGTACCGCAATTTGGCGCGGAAGGAAAGAACAATTGGAGAAGCCAATCCAGACGCACCCCTGTCCAAACCTGCCGCACGCTTGCACAGACGCGGTTGG